TGGTCATGGGATGATATAAAGTGGGTGAAATATACCATAACATTTGTGTTAAATAAAAGTCAAAATTTGAACCGGCTAAATAACAAATAGATAGTAAGTATATCGGAAATATATATATATATATATATATATGTATATATATATATATATATATATATATATATATATATATATATATATATATATATATATATATATATATATATATATATCTATATATATATATATATATATATATATATATATATATATATATATATATATATATATATATATATAGCGAAATATATTCAAGAGGGATGTCAGCTAGAATGCTTATATTGGCATAACAGAATAGATTCTAAAAAACGCAAAAAATATGTCAATTATGATGCTAATACAGATTTTGTAGTATTTTGTGTTTTTTTTTTTTATTTTTTTTTCGCGTGCGATTTTTTCAACTTGACTTATAATATTGAAGTTTACGTTTTGTAATATTTTTTACCTTACAACACAGGTTGGGTTTACATATTATATAAAGAGTGCAATTATAGTCCGATCCTCACGAAAATTTTCATAGAATTACGTCCCTATACATTTAGGGGTTTAAATGGACCAACAACTAAAAATGTTCCTAATTTTGGAGCCGTTATAAAGGTCACAAGTAGAATGGACAACTTCTTTTTATGATAAAACACCAACATTTCCATTCTACCGAAACGCTGAAAATAACTTTATAATAGCTATTATTTGTGATCACTTCTTAAAGCTTGAATTAATCCATATTTTAAAATGCCCATAACTCCTTAAATATTGAATTTTCAGCGATTTTAGCTTTTCTTGGTGATCACTTTTTGAAGCTTGAATTGATTATAATAAATTTGGAGATACAGAGGGGCCTCTCGCATTTGAAGATGATCGAAAAATATTTAGGGGTTCAAATGAACCAAAAACAGAAAATGTTTCCAGATCATATAATTGTAACCAATCGACACCGAATTTCGCATGGGAAGAGAGTTAAGGACAGGGAAGAAGTTTGGATGACCATTGGATTATATTTAGCTGTAAAATGGACAAAACCAACTAAAAACATGACGGAGTGCGTAAATATTGGGCAAATGTCCTTTGTCAAAAAACTGAGGGTAGATCTATTTGACATCATTTCAAAAACGAAATCTTCCAAAATGGATTTAGACATAAGGGCACCTCTTCCATATTATAGTGTTGTAGGGTATCACATAGGGACATAGTTTTGAATTTGTAGACATAGTTTTGAATGTGTAAGTTAGAAAACTTACTTGATATAGCGTATTTATTAAAAAAGTATATATCAACTGTTTATAATAGACCCATGTAAGAGCTCGGCTGAATTTTTTGTATTGCAAAGAGTTTTGTCTTCCATATAACTGAAGGTAGAATTATTTCAGAGTAGTCAAAGTTAATTACTCCTTTACACCCATTACCATAGCACCTCAAATTGTGCGTTAAAGTCCTCATAAAATGCATGTTTTTGATTGGTATAAAATTTAATGACTATTAAACAATATCCGTCCGGTGGTCTGCTAATCGGTAAATCTGGGAGGTACTGTTATATAGGGACTATACCAAAGTATGTAGCTATATTGAAATTTTTCTGTAAGATGATTCTCCACCCCGAAGTAGCCTAAATGCACATTTTTAGACAAATCGATTGGAAAATGTGGTCAAATCCCCCGAAGTATGCAAAATAAATATGGGCACCACTACAAAAAACTAACCTACATTGAAAATGATATCCCCTTAAAAGCCAAGATGCCAAATAAGGGCCAAATCAATTGAAAAATGCAGCCAAGAACCCCGAAATACCACTCGTCCGATGCCTGTTAAAATTATTCCATTGACAAGTCATTATATTGTTTACAAGCGTACAAAAGCATTTTTGTGAGAATTTTCCGGAAAAAAGTTATTCGTGGTGGAATTCAAGCGTGATAGTGTGATTTATTTATATTTGGCTGCAAACCCGTAAGTGGCTATCGTTAACGCACTGCAGCATTTAAATGTGAATAAATCTTTTGTGTCTCGTACCATCACTCGCTACCGTGATACTTGTAGCGTAGCCCGACGTCAACTAAGTGGACGGAAGAAAACAACAACGTCAGCAGAAATGGTGCAAAAAGTAAAGAAGCGATTTGATCGAAACCCGCGTCGCAGTGGCCGAAAAATGACTCTTGAGCTGAACATATCGCAATATTCCATTCGGTAAATTTTGAAAAATGAGCTCGGGTAAGGCCATTGAAATTCTAAAAAGTGCAAGAACTTACACCATAACAGAAAGAAAATAGACTCAGAAGAGCTAAATAGTTGCTTCGCTTTTGTTTTTCTCCGATGGGAAAACATTTGTTGTCCAGCAGTTTGTAAACAAACAAAATGATCAGGTTTTCTTGCCAAAGAGGTCACCAGAAAATGTACACCTTTGGTTGGCCACCAGAAATCAAGCGCCGGCCATGGTGATGGTGTGGGCCGCCGTAACACCCGACGGTCGCTTTCCGCTCGTGACATCAGAATAAATGCCGAATATTATCGCGAAAATATTCTGGAGGGTGTATTAAAACAATGGGAGGGTGGATTAAAACATTTTGGCCGCAGACCTTGGACATTTCAACAGAACTCAGCACCATCGAACTCAGCACGCGCCACCCAAGAATGGTTATAAAGTGAGCTTTTTCGCTTCATTTCCAGCGCATAATGGCCACCAAAATCTCCGGATACTAGTCCGTTGGACTATTGTGTCTGAAGTATATTGGAAAGCAAGGTTGGCACCAAAAAATACTAAAGAGTCGATCCCCTTAAGCAAGCGCTTCGCCGGGAATGGTCCAAAATACCGCAGAGCAACATTCGGGCAGCGTGTGACGGTTTCATTGGCCGTAATTCGTGCCAAAGGTGACTAATTCGTACAAATCTAAACTTATTCTAAAATTTGATGGTATTTCCGAAATTTTTTTCTTTAATTCAATACAATTAAAAAAATGTACAAATTTTGGCATTTGACTATGTTGCAGTTTTTTATCTCACCCTGTATAGTTATTTTTTATGAGATAAATGTTTGCCCTTGATTTTGTATTTCTAAAATGATGAATTGTAGGAAAATATTTTACATTAACTTATTTAAAGTACAACTTTAAACCTACCATCTGATTTTGTTATTTATACATTCCTGGCGTACAAGTGAAATATAGAGTTTTAAAACATTCTGGAACTTTTATTAAAATTTCATAGCAAATCATTTTTTGAAATGCTTTGACTTTAAGCGGATATTTTAAACAAAATAGAATCAAAAATACCTATTATACCCTACAACAACATTGGGGGGGTATTATAAGTTTGATTGGGTCAAAAATTATGTAACACCTCGAAATATTGGTTTCCCACATAGGAAAGTATATATGGTTCTTCCTATCTCGCCGAGCTGAGTCGATCTAGCTATGTATGTCCGTCCGTCCGTCTGTCCATCAAGGTCGGTCAAGCTACAGGTCGCAATTATGAACCGATCCTCACGAAATTGAAAATGGAGGTGGGGTTATTGTCAGAATAGAACCCTATTGTTTTTGGAGATGATCGCACGATAGTTAGGGGTTTAAATGGGCCAAAAACAGAAAAAAATTCCTCATTTTGCAGTTGCTCTATAGGTCACAATTATCAACCAATCGCCGCGAAAATTTACATGGAGTTAGAGTTTAGGAGTGGACAGAATCCTACCAATTTGGGCGACCACCGGACAATAATTAGCGGGTAAAATAGACCCTAACTTTTATGTAAGAAAATAGGAAAATTTCCACTAAACCGCGAATATTTTTAATCCCAGTGATGCTAATAGCCAAGAAATCGGGTATATAGCAAAATAGGTACAATATATATGTAAAAGAATTGATCTTATTTATTCTGCTTATAAATCAAAAACCGCTGGGCCGATTTTCACAATTCCCATCAATTCGGAATGGTCTTTTGCCAGAAGAACAGAAAATCTAAGAAAATCGTGGAAAAATATACCAATAAAAAGTGAATATTTCTTGTTCCATTTTTTTCAATTCTTGTCATATTTTTCATCGCATGCGATTTTTTCAATTTGACTTACAATTTTGAATTGTAAATTTTCTAAATGTTTACACCCTTCATTATATGCATGTCGCAATTATCGTCCGATCCTCACGAAATTTGGCATGGAGGTATGGTTAGGGTCAGAATTAAAGCCTATTGTTCTTAAGATGTACATTTAGAGGTACAAATGGACTAAAAAAAAATATTTTTTTCTAATTTTGTAGTCGCTCTATTGGCCACAATTGAATCTAATCGACACGGAATTTCGCATCGGAAGAGAGTTAAGGGCAGGAAGAAATCTAGATTTTGGATGACCATTGGATTACATTTAGCTGTAAAATGGACCACAACTTTCATAACTTTTGCCAAATTCTCCGAGCCAAAAAACTAAGGGTAACCTCTGGGCGGAGCTCTTTGACATTATTTCATAAACGAAATCTTCCAAAATGGATTTGGATATAAGGGGACTTCGAACATATTGTAGTGTTGTAGGGTATCACATGGTCGGCCCCGCAACACTATAGCCTTTGCTTACTTATTTGTTAATACGTTTGAGGGTTGAAAGGGTTATTTCCAATGTTTATCAATACCCAGACAGATACAAATATTACAGTGCGCAAAATTTCCTTCGCTTTAAAAATATTTTTAAAATTTGTGGTGGTAAAAATTGCCAATATAAAGGTGACAATTAAGTTTTCTGCTTCAATTAAGTAAATCTCCCGATGTAAACATAGAAAATATTGAAAGCGTTTTCTATTTTCGCTTTTTCACGCTTAATCTTTAGTTATTAATGTTTAAAATATTGCGTACCATGTCTTTAAGTTGAGGTCTGTTGACAAACAACTGCCTATTTAATCCTTAAAGGGAATTAAGTGTGACACTGCTTAGTTTTTACTTTCAAACCCCCAATAAACTGTCATAAGTGCTTGTAAAATAAAATTAAAAATATTTAAAACCGGATGTTATAGTAACAATATTCTCTTCTCATCCTTATATCTTCCCCTCCTCCACTCATGGTTTGATCAATGTTTTCGAATATTGGACAACAAAAAAAAAAACTTTAAATTATGACAATTAATTTCCGCCAAATATTCCCCAAAGTCAAATTTAAACTAATTTCAAGGCATTTAAATTATTCACCACAAAATCTACATAGCTGCGATGCACAAGCGATGGTGGGTGAGAAAGAGAGAGAGAGAGATGGTGCGCCCACGCTAAATAGAATGCTTTAAATAAATCAATGTGCCTCGGAAAATATATCATGTGAGTAGGAAATGCTACGATACATAAGTTTATTAATTAATTAGCAAAATCCTTGAGGAATTTTTGCCGAGTCATTAATGTGTGCTGCCACAAATACAAACAGCAAAACCGGAAATATTCGCAAACTTGCAAAAACCGGTAGGCATCTGAGTATCTCGTTTGGATATTCGAGAACAGTCTTAAATTTCTGGGAAAATTGCTGCCGTGTGGAGGAGTTGAGAAGGAGTGTGAAATTAACACCAAGAAGTAAAACTAAACTTGTAAAAATAGGAAGCGATTAATACGACGATGTTAATTACCAAAGTGAGGGGAATATTAGTCAATAGCATACAACTCCATATGACTACACTTTGCAATATTAATTGTGGGTGGTTGATAGAAAATACCAACAAATTAAAACTTTTCTTCCTTTTCTAGACATACCTCTCGTGATCTAATTTGGAACAGATTGGAGTGACCAGTCAACTTGGAGAATGTAAAGGGCGATTGTTTTCTATTATCTATTTTTCCAGCACTCTTTTTGTTTCAACGCCTTCATTTTGGTCTATACTTAAGGCGTGAATTGTCTTACGAAAGAACAACGCTTGCAAATCATTGAATTTTATTCCTTATTATGGTCAGTTTAATCGATCAAATAAAGTGGTTATTCGCTTCCGTAGAGTATGAACTGAAGAAAACAGCGCAGCTGTATCGCCCAGTTGGCAGCAGTTGGGCCTTTCTTACTCAACGGCGTGGATAATGCTGGGGAAGAATTTAGTTGTGAAGCCTTTCAAAATACAGCTATTCACCGAATCGGTAGAAATTTCTGAATAGAAATAAACACTTTCTGGAATATTTCTATTTTAAATTCTTTGACCTAAACAAATCTATAAAATATGTGTATATTTGCACGTGCATATATGAACGTTTTTCAATCAAATGGGCTGTAATTTTGAATTCGTAACTTTTAGAAATCAAGCATTTAGTTATGTCCACCTCATGAATGAGCGCAACTTAACTTATCTTTTATGATCACAAAATATTGACCATTTCCTGGCCGAAAAAGTAAAATTTTTTAAATTTGCCTGGCTACATCGGTTTTCGGTTTTATATATTTCAGCGCCTGAAGTTATTGAGATTTTTGATGCTTTGTGATAAATTTCCAATCGAATAGTATTTTAGCATTCCAGATTCAGGACCATTTTTTGTTTGTTTCATTTTTCTAATATGAGTTAAAAAATAAACGTATTACAAAATGTACAATTCAACATTAAAAGTCAAAAAATTAATTCAAAATAAACAAAAATTAAAAAAAAAATGAATATACATATGTGACAAAATGTGACAAAACTATTCACATTTTTAATGGCCCATTTTTATGCGTATTTTTTCGATTTTTTCCTTTTCTACCATTAGACCATTCCGAATTGATGCAAATTGTCGCAGCCATTGGAGTTTTCCAATAAGAACTTTAAATTTTACCATTCGAAAAGCTATTCTTGAACTTTTCCACATAGAATTTCATATAAAAAATGTTTTTTTGTTTTAACGTCGAGAAGACGTACCAAGAATAACGAGAATTTTTATATCCTACAACAATGTGTTGGGCCAAAAAATATGTAACACCTCGAAATATGGGTTTCTCACATAGGAAAGTATATATGGATATTCCTATCTCGTCGAGTTGAGTCGATCTAGCTAAGTATGTCCGTCTGTCCATGTTAATTTGTAATCACCCTACAGGTCGCAATTATTGCCCGATCTTAACGAAATTTAGAATGCTTTTGTAGATGATCACATACTATTTAGGGGTTGAAATAGACCATACCATTTGTGTTAAATTAAAGTCAACTTTCCCAGTAAACCGCGAATATTTTTAATCCCGGCGAAATCACAAATAAGGAAAATTTCAATTCTGACCGCTACGTAGATGCCGATAGTAAATATATCGGATATATATAGCGAAATACAATATGTATAAACAAAGAAAAGGGGTGTTTTTTTTTTTTTTTTTTTTTTTTTTTTTTTTTTTTGTAATTTGACTTTTAATATCGAAGTGTAATATTTTTCACCTTACAACACAGGTTGGGGTTATTATATACAGATCACAATTATAATTCGATCGTTGAAATGGACCAAAATTAAAAATGTTTCTGAATTTGCAGCCATTATAAAGGTCAAAATAGAAACCAAAGACAACGAAATCTCGCATGAAGTTAGAGTTTAGGACAGCGGGTAGAATGGACCACTACTTTTGTGTGAAAAAATACCATTCCATTCCACTGAAAGGCTGAAAATAATTTACAAGCGAAATCCAAAATACACAAAAGGCGAACTTCTCGCTTTTTTATGCTGATTTCGTTGACGAATGTAGCCAAATATTGTAGACGAGCAAATCATATAGATGAGTCTAAATTTAGAGATACAGAGGGACCCCTTGCTTTTGGAGAAGATCGCAAACTATTTAGGGGTTCAAATGAACCAAAAACAGAAAAAAAAATCCCAAACACACAATTGAAACCAATCGACATACCTTAGAAGAGAGTTAAGGACATGGAAGAATTCTAGCATTTTGCTTGACCATTGGATTACATTTAGCTGTAAAATGGACTACAACAGCTAACAACACCACGGAGTTCGTAAATATTGGGCAAATGTCCCTGGTCGAAAAGCTAATAATAATAATATCTGGGCAGTGCTCCCTGACAAAATCTCAAAAGCGAAATCCAACAAAATGGATTTAGACATAAGGGGGCTTCTAACATATTGTAGTGTTGTAGGGTATGGTCGGCCACGCACGGCTATAGCCTTTGCTTACTTGAATTATTTTCCGCTATGTGAGATTTACGATTACTTTACATTACATTATTCTAATGCTTTCCCAAAAGACAACATGCACTATCTCCAAATAACAGGCAATAAATTAGAAGGCATATTATATCCTTGAGATTCTGTGAGATAACTTTATGTCTTATTTATAATCATTTTGCCAATTTTGTTTTTCATTTCTACAACGAATATATATATATATCTACTGCATCAACTCTTCATGAATATGCAACAATATTCTCAGGCATATCTATTATTGTATTATTGCCATCAGCATTTTTTGCAATTTGTTATAAATTACTATGCAAATTCAAGCTGCATGCATACTTTTGTTGTGTCCTTAGACCAAAAAATTAAAAGAAGATAACCTTCAGGCATGCTAATAATTAACCACCTTTATATGAGTAGAAAGCTTTTTGTTAACTAACATTTGGGGTACGTAGACAAATTTGGCCAACATTTAAAACAACACTGTTTTCCTAAGTGCACTTGTTGGTACTCCTACATATGCATGTACATGTGTAGCCACACATGTATTGTAGACTTTTGTTTTTTTTTTTTTTGTTGTTGTTGCTTTTAGTTAGGTAGAGAAAACTATAATTGTAAATTTCCCCCAACAGAATCTATGATTATTACCTCCCTCCTTGCCAAAAAATGAAACAAAAACAAAACAAAGATAATACAATCAAGCACATATGCACACACACACACCCACACCATGTGTACACCCATAACATACTCCTACAGTAATCGTTCAGGTGAGTTGTTTTACTTGTTGGCCCTTAGGCCTCATATACTTGGAACCTACAGCCAATTATGGTAAACATTGTAAGCGAATGAATGTAAATATCCTAGGACTGGGAGCTTTAGTAGTCTTGTGTTTTGTTGGTAATTTCAAAGATTTAAGTGGTACTGTTGTTATTCAGGGTTTTTACTTAGACTACAACATAGTAAACATAATATGCGTCTGTGTGTGTGTGTGTGTGAGGGATGTACATATGTGTTCATACAACTTAAGAGAAGGTTGTCCAAAGGACACATTGTGTCCTTTATCACTTTTGGGAACAATTTTTATTGAAGCCATTATACAAGACTCATTAAAAGGTATCAAATAGAATGTCACACACATTTTAATTGATTGCTAGCTCACACACACACACATAAACACACGTACACATACAAACGTATATGTATATTTCGTGTAATGGTTACAGAATCATCTATAGGTTTAATACCAGTAAGTGTCGCAACAACAACTTCAATCTACAACATATTATGTTAAGGCTTTAAACTAATATTTTAACCACAGAGGACTTTTTTGGTTTTTATTTTAAGCAGAAGCACCGATCTTAATAAAATGTTTGTAGAAGTCCTCTTAAGGTAAATTTTTAGTGAAGACCTGTAAAAGATTCAATTAATAATTCACGCTTTAGAGAGACTCTTTTTCTGCAGAAGAGAGAAAGAGAAGAATTTAGAATAGGTCTGTTCAAGAACAAGAGCTCCACTCTTCTAATAAATCGCCAACAGATAAGTGTTGAAACATCATTGAAACAATTGAATAAATTGTTAAATATAAAGAAAAATACAGTGGTGTTAAAGAACAAAAGCTCGCTCTCTTTTCTTTTAGAAATCATTAACAAATAAGTGTGTAACCATTATTTATCTATTTTTTTATTATTAATTATTATAATTTAGGCACATCTTTATGATTTACTTGTCTACGATATTTGGTCTATATTCTACATATTCGTCAACGAAATCAGAATAAAATTGCCAGAAGTTCGCCATTCTATCCTCTGTCCGAAACTCTAACTCCATGCGAGAGTTCGTATCCTTTGGTTTCTATTTGTGACTTTTATAACGGCTTCAAAATCGGGAACATTTTTAGTTGTTGATCCATTTCAACCCCTAAATATATTGCGGACAACTTTGAAAACAATAGGCCTAGCCCTTCTGAGCCTAACCCTACCCTTGTGAAAAATTGCAAATATGTATATATATATACGGAATGGGCAGAATCCTTTAATATGTATACTTTTATGCCAAGAGGACATTCTGAATTGACAAAATTTGTCAAAATCGGTCCAGCCATTCTTGAGATATAAACATTCTAGCTAAAATCTACGTAGCGGTTAGAATTGACCTGTTCGTCTATTTGTGATTTCGCCGGAAATAAAATTTTTCACGGATAAATGGAAAATTTCACTTTTATTTAACACAAATATTATGGTCTATTTCATCCACTAAATATTACCCGATGACCATCAAAATTAAAAGGCTTCTGCCCAGCCTATTGAAACCTATTGCTTTTGAAGATTATTTATGAATTTTTTGTATCAACGCTTTAAAAATAATTTAGTATGTTCGTATACACGACTCTTATAGAAAGAAGGTATATTTTAAGGACCTCCTAAGAGATATTTTATTTTAAGAGAAGATTTTTTCCAGACCATTCCGTTCGAAGTCCTTTATAAAGAGAGAAGACATTTCCAGGAAATCTTTTGATAGAACAACTGTTACAGATTTTCTTTCCATAGAATTTAAGTTAGCAATTCATTTTAATGTTCTATTTGGTTAGAAGAACATTTACAGATCTTCGTTAGATAGAGTCCCTTTTACAGTCCTTAAGATATATACCTCCTATATTGAGACGACGCTTTTTAGGCCTTCTATAGAAAGAGAGTGTGTCTTTTACAGGTCCCTTATAGGTTTTTTATAGTGACAGAGAGGACCACTCTAACTGTAGATCGAAGATTTTGTATGTCATTTTTATGTAGATAAGGACTTTATCGCTCTCCCGTAAATAGAGCACAAGTTAAAAATTATTTTTACACATCATCTGCAGAGGAAAAAACTTTTACATGTTTTCTATAGAGAGTTCACTCTATACATTTCTTCTGCTTAAGATAGAATAGGTCATTTGTAGATAAAATAACATAAGTCCGTTTGTAGGTCTTTTTTTAGGAGAAGAGATTAAAGAGATATATTTCGCATAAAAGATATTTAAAAGAAGTCATAAGTAGACCATTCTTTAAAATTGTTCTTTAGAGTTAGGACGGCTTACAGGTCTTTTATGATGGAAGTGAAGTTGAAGGTAAGCAGAAAGGGCATTTTACATTTCCCTACGGAGAGAAGAACATTCACAGAAATTATATAGAACAAGTAGAAAAGCAGCAAGTCCGGCCAGGCCGAACTTTGAATACCCTCCACCATTTGGGACGAATTAGAAAATTTTCAAAAAAAAAAAAAAAAAATAATAATAAAATCCATTAAAAATTC